AAGTTATATATATATATATATATATATATATATATATATCAGTTTAATAAATCCGGATAAATTTTGAAAGGCCAATATTTCTCTTGGACCAAATATGTTAGATAACTTTATCTTTGCGAAAATAGAAATGTACATTTTGCGATAGCATAGATTTTTCTTACGAATCACGTGGTGAATGACAGAATTGCAAAAAAATCTTCTCTGATCTAATTATCCTGTTCTCTAACTATCCTAACTATCCTATTCTCTAACTATTTTATCTTATTTTATTTTGCGCTTCATTGATAATTCTTAATGCTGAAACGTGATGTAAATTAATGCAAATCAGTTATCAGTTATCAGTTAAAGAGTGTTTACGAATACGCTTTTAAAGTGATATGCATGAAGATATGGAAAGTTTTGAATAAGTCAGTTCTTGTTGAATAGCTGAATTTAAGATAGTTTGCTAATGAAATAAGTTCTTCAATTCAGATTGGAATTCGCAGGCTGCAAAGACAAAGCGATGGCACCGGTACTTCGCGACTTAATCCAGACGTCATATTTCAGAGTGGTAGTCGTCGAGGATGTGGATTCCGTTGAATGTTGCGGAGCGTTAAAGGTGACAACAATCATCATATCTTTGATCTCGTTAAATTTATTTTATTTAAATATGACTTTAAGATGGTTTTTTATTCTAAAAATTTACTAAGACTAGATAAATCTTAATATAAATTTGTATTAATAATTTATAGAATATAGTTGCCTGTGGCGCCGGTTTTGTCGATGGACTGAATCTGGGTGACAACACAAAGGCCGCAGTGATCAGGCTAGGTCTTATGGAAATGATCAAGTTTGTCGATGTGTTCTTTCCGGGCGGAAAATTAGCAACCTTCTTCGAAAGTTGCGGAGTGGCCGATCTTATCACGACGTGTTATGGTGGACGCAATAGAAAGGTCTCAGAGGCTTTCGTCAAAACCGGCAAGGTTAGTAATATAACAATATAATAATGAGGTTTATCTTGATCAATTTTTTTGCATTTCTAACAGACTTTCTACATTGCTTAGATTATTAAAAGTTTTTTTAAAAGTTTTAGTATTCGTAAAAATGTTTCCAAGGATACAATATTTTAATGATTGATATTGGTGTGTGTGTGTGCGCGTGCGCGACTTTTAATCGTTTTTATAAATTTTTACATTATATAAATAAGACAATGAATGTGATTTATAGTCGATCGAGACGCTAGAGAAAGAAATGTTAAATGGACAAAAACTACAGGGCCCATTTACCGCCGAAGAAGTCAATTACATGCTAAAATCGAAGAATATGGAGAACAGATTTCCATTGTTCACAGCAATTCACCGAATTTGCATCGGTGAACTAAAAGCAACGGATTTAATCGACTGTATACGCAGCCATCCGGAACACATGTAAGCTCATAATTGTTATAACATTTTAAAGATGGTTCATCAACATAAATTGGGATAATTAAAGCTTTTCCAGATCTATAGATCTTTTATCACTGAAATTTTAATTAATCTGACTTCTGGAAGACCCAAAATTTTGCGTATTAAAAATTTTAAGAGTATAAATTGCTTAAATATCTAAAATTTTGTTTTTAAGCAGAATTAGTTTAAATTCTGTAAATTGAAATTCTTTGGTAAGATAAGTTAAAGAGAGACAGAGAGAGAGAGAGAGAGAGAGAGAGAGAGAGAGAGAGT